CAATGGGAGAGATGGACTTTTGTTTGTCTTTTGTTTATTATTATTTTGTGCTGTATTGTTGGTTACTGTGTTATTTCTGTTTCTAAAGGCAGCAATAAATAACACTTTATTATCTAAAGAGTGTCCATGTGATTTTATACATTAATAATTTTGAGAAATGAATAAATGCATAATAATTGTCATAATCGTGAAACCGTGATTATTCCTCAGACAATAATCGTACCAACAAAATCTATAATCGTTGCATCCCTAGTTTATGATGTGCATTGCTAATAGATTACACTAACATTAGGCTTAGCCTTACCCTGGAGTTGGTTTACCCTCCACCTATGGATAAAAATATTTTACATTTAAGTAACTTCTAGCGCATTCTTAGTTAACCTTGGACCTCATTCTTGAAACACAAAATGATCAATGAAGTGTCAAGCACCAAAAGCAGACCATATTAAATCTGTAAGTTCTCTTTAATTGAAAAATATACATTTTCATATATACTAGTACTGTACAGGGCCTTCGCTAGTGGGGTGAAAGGTGGTGACAATTATAGGGGGCCCCATTGCCCAAGGGGCCCACTAAATCCAGTAGTTATGCTATATATTCCCCTACTCTTATATGAATCATTTTAATATATATATATATATTACAAAGTCAGCTTGTTTGCCTAAGAGTTTAATGAAAACATCAAAAACATGCAATTTAGTTAAAAATGCTTTCCAAATATCTCCTCTCTCCCCTCCATAAAAATTGTTTAGTTTGATGGTTATTAATAATTTCAGCTCAGTCAGCTACAAAAAGGAGAGGGACCCAATAAAATCACAGGTCCCACCTCAGCTAGTGAACAGAACCAATCAAAGTTGAGGCTGTTCCGAGAACAGTTGAAGTCAGAAGTAAAGTTAAAGTGGAAGTGAGACTGACTGAAACTGCTGGGGGAAAAAATCTGGGTACCAGTAATGTCATGAAAAGGAGAGGGAGGCCAGGAGAACTGCTTAATAAGTCTATCAAAACGTTCTTTTGCAAGACAGGTTAATGCACTGTCATTGTGATGGGATGCCGTGCACCTGATCATTTCGCTGCCCAATTTACTTTCGCAGGAACAGTACATCTAAGTGCTGCTGCCTGCACCCTCATGCTGGTACATCTCATTATAACGATTGCGCGCTCAAAGTTCCCCTCTTTCTGTGCTATTATGTAGTTTGCTATATTGTATAATACACACAGAAATGTGCGCGATTAATCATGATTAATTACAGAAAAATGTGATAAATTATTTTTTTTAATCGATTGACAGACAGCATTAATGTTTCCGATTTCAATTTAATTTCTAATTTTATAGGTCCCCCCCGAAAGAGATCGGGACAGCCCCCACCCCCTTGGCCTCCTTCAAATTTTCAGTTTGATAATTCGGCCCTCAAATGAAGCTAATTATATAGCCCTGCTCTAATCTGTTAACATGGATGCAGAAAAAAATATGCACCACATAGACACTGCAAACTGAGTATGTGTGAAACAGGTGTAACACGATGGCCTGCTCCATTTGCCGAACAAGAATCTCAACGTTTTTTAGGGACAAAAAAATATATACAAATCAATAAATCTGTTTGTTGTTGTTTTTCTTGTAAGTAAAGTAAAGAAAAAATTAAAAACATTGTAAATATGTTTAGTCATTGTAGTAGTAATGACTGCCTGTTTTTGCAAAAAGAGTTACATGGCTGGTAAAAAGAAATTTTGGCCGGTAAATTGGATCACATCACCGGCCATTGGCAGGTGTGGCAAAAAGTTAGTTTTAGGCCCTGTATATATATATATATTCTTTTGTTTTTTTCTTGTAAGTAAAGTAAAGGACAAATTAAAAACATTGTAAATATGTTTAGTCATTGTAGTAGTAATGACTGCCTGTTTTTGCAAAAAGAGTTACATGGCTGGTAAAAAGAAATTTTGGCCGGTAAATTGGATCACATCACCGGCCATTGGCAGGTGTGGCAAAAAGTTAGTTTTAGGCACTGTATATATATATATATTCTTTATTATGTCCCTCATTTTTCTATGAAAAACCACAATTGTCCCTTATTTTCCTTTCCTGAAGTTGGCAACCCTACATCTAATGCTTTTTGACATAGCAAATGTAATGCGGAAAATGCGGACGGAATCCAGTAATAAAAACAGATTTTAATGTATAAAACTGAATGTCAAGGAAATTTGCCATTTAGGACGAGTAAATCAAGAATAGATATGTATAATGAAACAATTTGCTGTATGAAATAGTGTTCTGCCTGTCTGTGTGAAAGAGCAGTGTCGTTACTAAAGCACGCGTGTCGCTCATGCAGGCGCGAATTAACGCACAGGCTTGCCTAGGGGCCCCACGTGTGCAGGGGCCTCGGATTGGCCAGACTATTTTTTTATTATTTTAAGTTTACTTCAGCGCAAACAAAAAAGACTCTCATTGGCCCATAAGAAACATCAAAGGAGCATTCGTTGCAGAGCGTCTGACAACATTAATGTCTTGTATTGTAGAATGCAAGCTCAGCACCGCAGAGAGTTTGCGCGATCGTTAAATCGAAACCGAAAGTAAAACGCACACGCGCATTCAAAAGCGATTTTAATACCCCCCGTTTTGAGAGTGACTCCCTGATGCGCGCAAATTAGGCTACATAACATATCCTAGGCTGTTATTAGTATGTAGGCTATAATAGGTTTTGTGGTTGTCTATAGCTCTGCATCATGCTTGAAAAAAATTGGTCTCTATTTGCACTTTGAATATAGAGAAAGCACTTATTGTTCTCACTTAATATGACTAAGAATGAACTGTTGTTTATTTTTTGTTATTTATACTGTTTTATTTCTATGTTCAATTTGTGAAAAGGAGTTCAGTTAGGAGGTGAAACGTTCATACAAAGCTCATAATTCATGTACAGTTCTAAGGTCTGAAGAGACTCACATGAAATCATACAGGAGAGAAGCCAGTCAGTTGAACAAAACCTTTTACAGTGCTTGAGTGTTGTTGTTTTTACTGCATATGTGATGCGATCTAGGAAAACCCACCACATGGTGAAATTTTAACTTTTTTAGGTTTTGATACCATATGAAAGCTGGGTTCAAGTCCTTTCTAAAACTGTTTTTATTTTCTCCATAGCTTGATCCAACGGGTTTTCCCAGATCGCATCACATATGATAATTCATACTCAGAAAGTAGAACTGAAATTACATTTATTACAAGATGATTAGTTAAATACATTTTTCCAGTCATGTATTTGGTCATTGAGATTTTTTTTTTTTAAATGTGTAAAAATCTCATGTTTCCTCTCATGCCTTGAGTTAAGTGTCGGCATTAATGATAATCAAACAACAAAAGACGAGGAGAAAAATCACTCCCTGCTCTTGACAGAATGGCATTTGTAGCTTTTATAAGAAAGTGTAAATTGTTCCCTACCATCACATTCACATCTATGCAACCAATAAATAAATTACTACTACTAAGAAAGAGCACATATTTCTTCATTGATCTAGTCACTTGATTCTGCTCTCAAAATGCACCAGATTTATGCATTTAAATTTAAAATGAACTAAATTTTCTTATAGCCTACCCGCAAAACCCCCTAGACTAG